ATTTTTATTTTCCCAAAAAAAAAAAAAAAAAAACTATAGCAGAGTGTAATATATATATATATATATATATATATATAATCAATAAATGGATGAGTCGATTCCTTTCTTTGTTTGGACAAGTTAAATTTTGCCTTTTTATGTGTGTAATGGGCACGTTTTTAATACTTCTGTTTCCTAATCTAATTTAACTCTGACCATTATATATATATATATATATATATATATATATATATATATATATATATGTGTGTGTGTGTGTATAATCTTTTATACTAGTTTTAATAAACCTCTACTGATATCTCTGTAGTATGAGTTTCACACATATGACACCAATATCGATTCTTTGATAGTAAATTTCGACATAGTACACAATCTATCAGCCATCGGTCTGACTCGAGAATTGATTTCCTAGCCACCAGGTTCAGATTAGCACTTCACCTAGATATGTAAACACATATTCTACCCAGCTGCATCGAAGATGTGTACGGGTGGAAAAAAAAAAACCGTATAACAGGTAGATATAAAAACAAACAATTTAGAGGAAATAATGCTTTGCGAGAATGAAGGACCTAGTTTCGGGGACAGACAAGTCACACAGTCATTGGCTTGCGATTTTTGAGTAAATCCCAAGTGAAATAAATAATACTTACTGAAACTCGGGTTCTCATTAATCTGTTTAATGATAACGTTCTATATGTTGTTTAATTTTAGGGGGTTGGCGATCTGGAAACGCCACAATTTTCTAGATCGTATATATTTTTTCTCTTGTTGTTGTTATTGTTTCCTAAACCCTATTCCGCGATTAATTAAAGCTTGTTCGCACGATACGTGGTCCGGTATTGTCCACTGATCCACTTGCCTTAAATCTGTCTTGTTAATATCATATTCCCCGAGCCCTCTGTCCTCATTATGAGCTCTAGAAATTTCTGTTTTCTCATGTTGTGTATAAGCATCCTTTTTGCTTATATCTTCTCTAAGACTTCGTTGTTACTCCCGTGTTCTCAGCATACTTCTGTAGAGCCATAAATATGTTGTGTTAAATACCTTCTTCAAATCCTGTGTATAATACTGTAATTTCGAGACATATAAGAATACGAGTCATTTTCATAAGTAAAAGAAAACATGCCTGTATTCCATCAAATTAACCTCGTACGAATCGAAGAGTATTGTTTCGGCCTCTCTTCGATCTTCTTCAGATAGTGAGAGGGATACTCCGCTCGGTTTCGTAGGTCGGGGGAATATATAAATCTCTGTATCTGTTTGTCTCATGTGTGTAAACGTTCAGTTCTGCCGAGTTCATTCAATGTTTATGTTGGTGCACCGAACCAATGCACTGAAGGCCCGATTCTGCACTTGGCAATTTGGATGCCCGCTACTAGCTCAACCATGAGGGCTCCTAGGTAGTTCCAATTTCTCAGATGAAAAAGAATGCAAAAACTTACTGTAGTAAATCTAAAGTCTGAACTCAGAATATATTGTGTTCAGAAAAGATAAATTCTTCAATCGAGGCACCTGATAGGCATTAAATTAAATTCTGTCCACTGGTATTCCTTGTCCCAAATGCCTTACTATATTAGAATTTTTTTATGAATAAAAATGAAAATAGGAAAACTGGTAATTGCTGACGCGTTTCGTCCAATGTAGACTTTATCAAAGCAAAATAAGAAAATGAAATTAATTGAACAAAGTAACTAATAAAAACAAAAACAGAATGTTCCTAGCAACTGGAATGTAGAGAAATTGTCATTTTTATTCATAAATATTGTCTTCTCTACTGGTTAAATTGGAGAAATTTCCATATATTAGAAATGTACACGTCCTTGAATGCCTATTAAATAATTGGAATTTTTTATATTTCGTTCAGAATCTTACTTGTTTTCCTTTCTTTTTTCTACTTTTTTTGAATCGAGTTGAAAATATTTGCCTTATAAACAAATCTAAAATAAGTCATTACTTTCAATGTAGAAGTGGACTATTTCAAAGTAATTATTGGTTTTAGGCCCGGAAATATAATCAATAAAAAGCATTTAATTAGGGATTATTTAAAATTTAAAACACGAATGTATATAAAGATCTACTAGAAAAATATATTTGTTAAATAATGATGCCATGAAAACATTGTCTAATGGTTAATCAATCAAATTGCACCGAAAAAAAAATAGCTTAATAAAAAATTCAAAATAATTACATCTAGAGTTCTTTTTTTGTTTTTATCCTATCATTACTGCTGAAAGGCCGGAGTGTTGTTGCCCTTTCTTTGATTTTACTTTTTATGCCATCGCGCTTGAAAAAAGCTAACAATTATGGCCAAGATCCTATGACTATAATGGACACACATTCTTTAAAATTGTATGAATCAGACGTTCAATTTTAATTATAGTGAAATGCTGTTATATCACTTTAACGCTTAGGAAGACGTGATCATCTGATTAGTTTCGAAACAAATAAGGTTATGTGATTCGAACCTAATCAGATGACCATGTCTTCTTAAGCGTTAAAGTGATATAACTGCATTTCACTATAATTAAAATTGAACGTCTGATTCATACAATTTTAAAGAATATGTGTCCAGTATAGTCATAATATCTTGGCCATAATTATTAGCTTTTGTCAAGCGCGATGGCATAAAAGTGAAATCAAAGAAAGGGCAACAACACGTCGGCCTTTCAGCGGTTCTGATTCAACCAATAATACCCAATCAGAAGGTTTGTTCGATAAACCAGAAATACTGCCAAAATACTTGTGGACGGAGTTGTAGACATACAATGTATTATTTTTGGATCATTTAGAAAATAATAACTGCCTTCACCACGGCCTCAAGTTCGAGAAAATGTTTTCGCCAATCAGTGTCAAATTATTTTCTGCATTATGAATACTTTGTATTCAAAAAGTTCACGCATCTATGTATAATTAGATTTTGGATATCCCTTACGGATATAAAAATAGAAGCATACTGATTCTCAGGATTCAAAAGAATTCTGATGCCAGTTTGATCTAAACATACGTACGCACACAACGAAGACAGCTAGCAGAAGCAAAGCCATTGTCTACAAACTCACTAAAACATTAGGCTGACCATCAGAAATTAAGTCTGTCCACGCATTTGAAAACTTACTAAGAACACTTTATAAATCAAACTTCCCTGCAAGGAAAATTGAACATTTCATTGTTATTGTATATTTCTGAAAAGAATATATAAATATTATTTCAACTGACGCTCAGCTTAAACATTTCCTCCAGCAAATAAGTTAATATGTTTCATTTAGAACTGGTGTTTTTGTTGTTAAATGTTTGGAATAACGACACATCGATGAAAAACAAAGGATCTAAATAAAATAAAAGCATTTAACGAAATGAAATTTTTCAAATGAAAAAAAAAAAATTTTTTCGACGTTTTAAACAAAGAAAAAATGTATTATAAGAAAATGAATGAAGAAATAAACAAAGAAAATAGTAAGAAAGACTAAAATGAATGTAAACAAAGGAATGAAAAATAAACAAAGAAAAATGAATAATGAAAAAATGCAATAAACAAAAAAAATGAAAGAATGAGAAGAAATAAACAAAGAAAAATGAAACAAACAAAAAAATGAAAGATAAACAAAGAAAATGAAACAAGCAAAAAAAAAATGAAGAAATGAATGGAGCAATAAACAAAGAAAAATGAATGAAGAAATAAACAAAGAAAAATGAATGAAGAAATAAACAAAGAAAAATGAATGGAGCAATAAACAAAGAAAAATGAATGGAGCAATAAACAAAGAAAAATGAATGAAGAAATAAACAAAGAAAAATGAATGAAGCAATAAACAAAGAAAAATGAATGGAGAAATAAACAAAGAAAAATGAATGAAAATGAAAAGAAATAAACAAAAAAAATGAAAAAAATGAATGGAGCAATAAACAAAAAAATGAAAAAAACAAAGAAAAAAATGATGGAGCAATAAACAAAAAAAAAAATAAACAAAAAAAATGAATGGAGCAATAAACAAAGAAAAATGAATGAATAGAAATAAACAAAAAAATGAATGGAGCAATAAACAAAGAATGGAAGAAATAAACAAAGGAAAAATTAAAGAAAATGAATGGAGCAATAAACAAAGGAAAAATTAATGACAATAAATAAAGGCAACTAAACCGCTAAAGTTTTCAGAATAATTGTCCTTCAGAAGCGGTGCTGGCATAAACAGATCATGAACTGAAAGCTAAAATGGAAGTGCAATTAATTACGGATTTGCTAAACGTTTGACATCAGATCATTTCAGAAGGATTGGTCTGGTTGTTTTAGGTTAGCGGCCTGTCACCCAGTACGGGTTTTTTATGCAGAAATCTAAATATTTTGTACGCATTATGGTTTGAAATACATATATTTTGAAAGCAATTTTATGCCTTCACTTACAGATATTTTCACCCTATTTTATACTTTGAAATTGAACCTATGTTCTACAGATTTATTTTTTGATGATCTATTGTAGGTGTTATATATTTTGGTATAAAACCCATTTCTTTAAGGCAGGATATTATGTAAACTGTTTCAGGAATTCAAATAGTTTTTTTCCCTTTTTACAAATCTAAAGATTGTAATATTTTTTACATTTAGCAATGATTTTACTGGTACATGTTCTCTTAATTAACCGATGCATAGGATAGAAAAGTTGGGTTCATACAACTCCCAATGATATTTGCGCGTCTGAATATAACGCATCTCGTTGGAATTGGAACTCGGCTTTGCGATTTATAATTGCCAGCCGTTACATATAAGCTGAGGGCAGGTGACATTCACAAACGGTCACCCGTCTAGATTCTGGCCAGGTTCGACGTTGCTTAAACTTGTTGATCGTACGTGAACCTGTATTTCAATTACATATGGTTCTAAGCTCATTTCGGATGGAAGTTGGTATGTCAAATAGAATGATCTTAATGCGATGGAACTATATATATATATATATATATATATATATATATATATATATATAGAGAGAGAGAGAGAGAGAGGTCTATCATAGTAAAAATGTTTCCGACAACAAAAAAGGAAAGAAAGAAAAGAAAAGAAAGAAAAGAAAAAGAAAAGAAAAAAAAGAAAAGAAAAAAAAAGAAAAGAAAAAAAGAAAGAAAAGAAAAAGAAAGAAAAGAAAAAGAAAGAAAAGAAAAAGAAAGAAAAGAAGAAAAGAAAGAAAAGAAAAAAAAGAAAGAAAAGAAAAAAAGAAAGAAAAGAAAGAAAGAAAAGAAAAGAAAACAAAAGAAAAGAAAACAAAGAAAGAAAAGAAAACAAAGAAAGAAAAGAAAACAAAGAAAGAAAGAAAAGAAAGAAAAAAAAAAAAAAAAAAAAAAAAAAATAATAAAGAAAAAAATAAGAAAGAAAAAAAAACATGAAAGAAAAAAAACGGAATAAAAGCCAATGTACGATAGGTTGAAATCTTATGTACATATTTATTCTGTAAAAAATACGATTAAAAAAAAATCTATCTGTGAAAATAGTTACGCCTTTCCTAAACAACATAGTCCCTTTCCAAATGTATACGGGTCATTTACAGAGAAGTGGACCACGTTAGGGGTTATGACTACTGGCTGGCGATCAAATGAAGGCTTGATGTGATGAAGGTGCTCAGCAGATAGATTGCTGTTGCTACTAAATATATAGGCAACAGGTAGTTGTCTGGTTGTAGCATAAACTCAGTAGACTACACTTATCAGGCTTTTGTCACAACTCAAGAGATTCCAAGTTAGAGTGACATTGATCAGTATGTATGTTGAAAGTAATGGTCATAAAATGAGTATATTGCTACTATAAAATAATGAATATATATTAAAAGTAAAATGACATTTTGAATCAAAGCTATTTTTTATATTAAAACAATAAAAGTAGAAATTGTAAAACAAGGAGTTCATAAGAAAAAAAAAGTAATAAAAATGTGCATGTTTAATTTTTTTTAGTTGCTGAAAGTAAACGTAAAATACATAGAAAATTATTCATCTCATATTATTCACGAGACATTAACTAGTAAAATTTATATTGCTTATATGTCGTATTAAAAGTAGTAATATTACCAAAATTAGTTGTTTTGAGGATATTACATTTCATTTTGCTGAATGTTTTTACAGAAAACATCGTTCATTGTTTTTCAATGTCGTTTTTATTTTCATTTAATTTCCTTCATTAATTCACCAACGTTCGTATCATTTTTTTTTTTTTGTTGCGGTAGAAAATTTAGCCCACATAGCAAATAATAGAAAGAAATTAACGACAGGCAGGGATATGAATTCTTATCAGGTGTCAACACCGGATTTGTAATGCAGACCACTTTAACTATCGTTGGAATTTATACATTCTATTATCTGATTAAATCATAGAACATCTTTATTCTAATTATTTTCTCAAACTATCGATTTCCCTCTATCTGGCTTATTTTGCAACAAAGCTATTTTTTTTTAATATTAAAGCAATAAAAGCAGAAATAATAAAACAAGGATTTCGTAAGGAAAAAAAAAAAAAAAAAAATGTGCATGTATAATTTTTTTTGTTGCTGCGAGTTAAAAAAAAAAAAATACAACTTTTGAATTTGTTTGGGGCTGCTTAATTTTTTAGTTGCCGGGTACATATTTTTTGATATTTGCTCTGATGAGAAACCACCGATAAACCGGTTTAGCTGTTTTCAGTCATTATCATATTTCGATATTACAATTTTACGGACAAATACGTTGAAACACCGGTTTCCGTTTGATCACTATAGTAAAGCGACATCCAGCCTGGTTAGTCTCTAAATGGGTAGCCTCTAGGGAATACCAGGAGCTGTAAGATAAATACTGTTGGCAAGTGTGTTGACCCACCTCTTCTTCCCCCAGCTATGGGTTAATTAATAATACTTGTATCACAAAATCATTATTATATCGAAGAGTAAATTCTTACAATCTAAAAATATACAACCCGCAAATAGTTGATAAGACATAAAAATGGATTATCATGATTTTGTTACACCTTTTTATTATGATTTTTTTCTTTTTTATTATAAAATACATTTTCTGTCTACTTTTATTGGTATAATACGATTTTCTAACTTTGTAAACCTAATTCTTTAATCTTAAAACGTTTTTAATAAAGAATAATATACTATGAATTAAAAATGTACCTATAACAAACAGAATTTGAATACATTAAATATAAAACAATATGTTTGCCTATTATACATTAAGTAATCTTGTAACTATACTGGTGACGGACTGAGAAGATATGTCAGCAATAAAAAAAGAAAAAAAAAAGACTGCTGATTAAATATATTGCAAAACTGAATGGTAAGAGAAGTTATCCGAGGATATAAGCTTAATTGGAAGCCTCAGAATAAAAAAAAAAGTAGGTATTTAACTGAGGAATATAATAACGGAAGTTGGAAAGAGCGGCACATTTTTGTGATGGCGCCTCAGAATAGAAAATCAAGAAATCCTGGAACAAAGCAACGTCTTAAGACACTGGGATATTTAATTAGACATAAAATATCGAGTGAACTACTGTGTCATATCTGCCCTCATGTGTTGAAGGTAATACTGATGAAGAAGAGACTTGGTGTGTTCCGATGTTGTTCTACAAAGAGAAGCTGGGCAGAACACGTGAATAACAAAAGAAACGATATGCACATTTATAATTACAATCAAAGATAGTTGAAATTTACTCCACAGATTATGGGTAAAAAAAAGCTTAGAAAATTTATCCCTCACAGAGTACATTAAATTGAATTACGAGCAAAGAGAATAGCCTATTCCATGAATTTGAGCGAATGCTCGATAGATTTGGGACGTAAAGTGCCGACACTTCTTCGTGTAATAAGTTTATTTACCGGAAGATACTTCAAGAAGGCGCTGTGGTTTATTTTAAGGAAACTAATCCAAGAAGTATTATTTTTATTCAATCTAAATGCAAATTTATTTTATTGCGTTTTTACTGCGAAAATTCAAGTATTATTTTGATTTGCATATACAACTTATTTTGCACTCACAACACAAAACATATGATATAAACCATTTGATCAAAGTTTTATATTAACTTTATTTTTTTTTTCATGTATTTAATCTCTGTGGCTTACTGAGTAATTGAGCAAATGCTCAAATAATTCATTGGACAATGTGTGAGAAACTCTGCCCCGGTTTGCGTGCTGAATAGTGGAAAACTTTATATGACAGATATGTTTTATAACTATGCTGCTGAAATATAATAAGTGTACCCCAAAGCATCACTCTATATTTGTAGCACGAAAATATCTTTTACCGTCAATAGAGACATCGATTTCTAGAATGTCTCTAAAATCCTTTTAAGAGACATATATTCTAAAAAAGAAATTAAATTGCAAACTAGGTCTGAACTTTAAACATTTCTCTTTAGATGCAGAAAATGATAAATATGAAGAAACGAAGAAAATCGCAATGAAATTAAGATTTTCTTCAGGTTCTGTTTTGAAGATCTATTTCAGTGTTTTGGATAATTGTGTTATATATATGGTGGTGGACTTTCCCGTCGTGTTCGACGTATGAAGGTCAGCAACTCAGTTCCTAGGAACCGACAGCCAGACACCAGCACGTATGATTTAATTTTTGCGTTGAAGGCTTTGCGCAGATCCAACCAGACTTTTTCAAGGGCTGAATACAGAAACATGATGCACTACGTGCCACAAGTTCCCCAAACAAACATTGCGCAGGTTATAAATTCCGAGTTGTCCTTCTCCTAGACCAGTAGACTTCCAAGGCTATACAACAAAATATGTCCTGCTAATTACCCATAGCTGGAGGGAGAAGATGATTCATACCTTTCCCAAGGGAATGAAGATGAATCTAATGAATTCTATTTGAATTCGAATTTGTCTTTCCGAGCCGATACCTACTACCTGCTACACACACTCTCTCTATTATATATATATATATATATATATATGCACTTTATTTAAGGATATTACATCGAAAAAACATGAAAAAGAAGGGAGAAATATAAATGAAAGACGGGACTGAACGTTGAGTACTATGTATATAGAGATATAGGCAAGTATGACTACAGAGTTATAGGGGAGGGGGTAACAAAGATGAGGGGAGGGGGTAACAAAGATGAGGGCAGAAAGGTTGACCAATTTTCACTGGATGTAAGAAGATTTTTAATATATGTCGCCACTCGAATCTGAGGATGCCAGTCTACTTGGGCGGCTAGCTAACTACAGACACATCTGTGTTTGTTCAGCACTACACAGCCCACTGTGGTTTATATTGCAACAATGTTGGGCGGATCGTAGTTATATTTTCTGGAAGAGAGACCGTTATTTAGCGTGTTCAGGAGTCTGAAGAAGGCTAGTATTCTCAAACCCTTGGTCGCGATAACGTTTCACTTCACACAAGCAAGTGTTCCGCCTACCCAATTTCCATCGCAAAGCTTGGGTCTAAACATGGTATGGTTTTCTAAACGTGCCACACACTGGGATCACCTCCTCCAGACCGATAACATTAACTAGTCACCTTCCTGACAAATCAAGAATGATCAGATTCCAACCAGAATCCCATGGTCAGAAAGCGAACGTTGTAACCAGTTATATATATATATTATATATATATATATATATATATATATATATATATATATATATATATATATATATATATATATATATATGTATGTATGTGCTCAGTTTTCATTGTTAATATAATGTGACGGCAAGTTGACACTGGTGTTTGTTTTAGTGTCCATTTCTTTCTTGCGCCATTCAGTTACGAGTCAAATTGTGTTTACGTTGACGTTTTGTCCAGAAACGAATGACAAAGATGAAGGATTAAATGTTGCACTTTTGCCAAGTTATGCTCTATGAATTTCGGTAAAGAATAAAAGTCAGAACTGCGAGAAAAATAATCATCCAGGTTTTATCTAAATGTGGGCACAATTATTCAAATGGTTAAAAAGTTGTTTGACAGATTTCGTCAGAGTGATTTTAAATTTAATGCTCCACCATGCTCCGTAGAAACTAATGACGTCGATTATGACGCTCTGCTTGCTATCGTAGTGAATAAATCGAATATTTTGAAGGAATAGGTTGATAAAAGTTTGAAAATTGATATCTAGACGGCATTTGAAGAGACATGGATTGATGTAGATGGCTGCCACATATTCTAACGAACCGGAACAACGACGACCGTGTTTCTGTGACGAATTCTTTCCTGTGACATCGCCAAAACGGACAGTTCGTTCTTGTACGAAATTGTCACAGGCGACGAGAAATAACTCATTTATGATAACATCAGACGTAAACGGAATGGGAAGAACACGGATATATATATATATATTTGGTTGGATAGATGTGAGTTTGTGACCTTGGGTTTCACGCTTTAGCGATCGTCAGTTTCAAAGCGTGAAACCCAGGGTCACAAACTCACATCTATCCAACCAAATATGTTAGCCCTATCTCTGATATTGAGCGCTTTCTAATAAGTACCGCGCATATAATATATAAATGATTATATATATCTATTTATATACACTTTTCATATATATATATATATATATATATATATATATACAAGGTGAGACAAAAGTCGCACACCATAGTGGTTAATTAATTCATTAAGTTTTAAACATCTAATTTGTTTTGAAAAGTCCAGTCGAGGAGACAACGAGGTTACCAAATATTGCTCACATGTTTTGTTTTTTGTTTTTTTTCTCTGGGTTCATCTGAAATCAGTTCTACATCAGACGCGACTATGAAATATTGAGGAACTTAAAGAAAAAATTAAATATGAATGCAATAAAATGACAAAATAAACTTTCCGATCATGCGAGCACAGAATTGAAATGGTTTTGAAAAAAGAGGGAGGATATGTTTAACAGCACCTATAACAATTAAATAACTAGTAAATAAAATTTTCATGTATAATTATGCATTTTATTCTTGTTCGACAGATGGAGTATTTTTTTTCCTTATATTACGGTTGTTATACAGACCGAGGAAAAAGTCGCGCACAATAAGTGTTAATGGATAGGTCGAAGAGGTCATGTTGAGTGGTCACTGAGTTCACCAGACCATACACCGTGGGTGTATTTTATATGGTGCCATTTGAAATTAGTTTCTTACCAGACGTGCCCATAAAATATTGAGGAATTTAAAGAAAGAATTAATTATGAATGCAGAAAAATGACAGCGGAAAATGTCCGACATATTAATCGTGCAGGAACAGAATTGAAATGGGTTTTGAAAATGGAGGAGAACATTTTGAACAAGACAGTGAAATAATGTGTAAATATAATTTACATTTTCCATATGTAATTAAACTTTTAATAAATTATCTCTACGACTTTTTCCTCAAAACACACACACACACACATATATATATATATATATATAGAGAGAGAGAGAGATTATATGCAAAAGAGGTATTGTCGAATATTTTATGTAAAATTCATAGATATGTGTTATCCAATGAAATAATTTGTACTATTATGTATAGCGAGTAAACATGAAAGCAATTAAGCCCCAATTTTCAATTTCAGATTGATATTTAGTATTTTTTCAGTAATTATAGCAATTTGCAATGTCAAGAGATTATTTGCAAGAACTAGAATTTAGTATTATGGCTCGTAAAAAAGAACTAACAATGAATGAAAAAACTATATAATCAAAGAAATTAGAAAAGGAAAGTCTTCGCTTCAAATTTCTAAGGATTTGAAAAGGGATCATCGAACAGTCAAGAAAATATGTCAAATAGGAATTCAACCAAGGAAAAAACATGCCTCAGGCTGAATTCAGGAATTTAACAAAGCGAGATCTATCACATATCCGAAGATAATTAATAAGAAACCCAAATGCTTCAAGTGCGTTCATATTTGAGGCCGCTGGAGCTCCTATGGTGTCAAGAGAAACAAGATGTAAAGCATTGAGGAAGTTTTCTGATGTAAAAAATCAACTAAAGAAACTCATTTTATCAAAAAAGAACAAAGAAAGAAGATTGCAGTGGGCAATAAAATACATGAAAAATGATTTCAATAAAGTGCTTTTTACAGACGAATCAAGGATCACCCTCGATGGGCCCGATGGTTGGGATCGAGAATAAGTTTGCAAGCAACATGACTCAAGAATTTTTTTAAACGCCAACCAGGCGGCGGTGGGATCATGATATGTGCTGAGATTATTGGTAATGAGCTCGTGGGCCCATTTAAACTGAAGGACGGGGTTAAAATGAATTCCAAAAGTTACTGTGATTTTCTAGAGCAATATTTCTTTGAATGGCTTGATAACCAGTCTTTAGCCAAGCGTAGATCTATGATCTTTAGGCAAGACAACGCACCAAGTCATGCATCAAAGTTTACAATATCCTGGTTGAAATTAAAGGGATTTGTTGAAGATTCTCTTATGAACTGGCCTTCAAATAGCTGTGACTTGAATTCCATTGAGAACCTGTGGAGCATCCTCAAAAGAGATATTTATTCTAATGGAAGACAATTCAACAGCAAGTGTGACCTCTGGGAGGCAGTTAAACAACTTACCAAACCGCTAAAATTGCAAATCTAACATCAGGTGTTGACAATAAGATGCTAAGAGTTATTGAAAAGAAAGGAGCATTTGTGCAATAAATTTTAGGAGGTTCTTATTTTTTGTTAATATATCTTTTATTTTTAAAATACAAAGTTTTTTTTTTATCTTTTCCTTTAAGAAATTGAAGAATTTGTTCTAAAATCATTTCATATTATTTTTTACATTAGTTTTACAAGGTATAATAATGTAAAAGTATCAAAATAAATAGTTGCAAATAAACTGCTGACAGTCAAATTAATCTGTTTTGTTAACTTAGTAAAATTTTCTCCACCCAAAAACAGTAGTTTTCTCTATATCTAAGTTAATGATATTGAGTAGAATCTAAACAACATCATAATAGGACTTTTAACATTAAAGACGCAACACTTTATACCAATTCGTAACTTGCATATAATCTCTAGACGAAGTTTGTTTTTATATATATATATATATATATATGTGTATATATATATATATATATATATATATATATATATATGTGTGTGCGCGCACGCACACATTTGCATATACGTATATGGTGGTTCCTTATTATAAGACATTATGTATATATGAAGGGAGTTCACATATACAGGCTAACAGGGATAGGTAGACACCTCTACACATCTATTATCACCAGATCTCATACCAAACCAAAAGGTTTTATTAAAACTTTAGTACAAATTCACTTTTGCCAACAGTCCAGAATGGAGTTCAAGTCTCACTAACAAATGCAGAAAAGGAAGAATTAGACATTAAAAGAACATAAGTGAACTTATTACTTTTAAAAATGTGTTCCTTTTATTTGCCTGAAGAATGTCACGAGACCCGAAATCCGCGTAGCCAAAATATTATATATATATATATATATATATATATATATATATATATATATACTAAAAGAAATTTAACCAAAAATGTTTGTGGTTACTCTTAATTTTTAAATAAACGTTTTTCTCTCGTTAAAACAACTATAACTATATATTATATATAATTCGACATTGTTCAAGATACCAAATTTTTGCGTATCTTTTAATATTATAAGTTCCCTGTTATTTGCTAAAATGCCCATCTAATAATTCAGTAGGGCGCCTTTTGTTGTGCAGTAGGAACACACACACACACGCGCATATATATATATATATATATATATATATATATATGTGTGTGCGTGTGTGTTTATATATATATATATATATAGATATAACGTCATCCACAGACAGACAGTTTCCCTGTTTCAAAGCTCATCAGTGTGGCTAGACATCCAGTTGCCTCTAGCTAGGATCGAAACCCGACTGAATTGGTGCCAGTCGGAGATTCTAACCATTAAGCCGAAGGTGGATTTTAGCGTATTTTTATTTTTAGAAACACGCCCAGTGACCGAAAGTGACTCAATTCGCTTTTGCGAAGAGTCTCGCTATATAGCTATAAATAGTCACTGTTTACCAACCCACACCTCCTCCCCAGGGAGTTCAACTGAAATTATATATATCTGTATGAACAGATGTACATTTTAGCAAGTAAAAGGAAACTTATAATATTGCAAAAAATTTGCAGAAATCGAGAATCTAGACAAAGGGATCGGCAGTTTGCGCTATATACCATAAGGAAAAGTTCTCCAGCGTCCGAGAACGAAATACCTTGCACACGTTGCAAATAATACGATATCCTTCATTCGATATTACGAGGTGTACGACATGCTAAGCCCACTTGTATGCGTGTGTAGATTTTTTTGTTATTTGGGTTAGAAGTTGAGATATAAATGATGACTATTTTTCTTTTTGTTTCTAGGAGCGTGTGGATGTTAATTTGTTTTGCTTTTCAATACTATATCGCTCGATCTTTGCGGATATTTGCTCTTGATGAGTATTTTTCTTCCCTTCTAGTCTGTTGTTTCACGTGGTTGTGTTTGAGACTATTGTACATATCCGCTTGCCCAAGTTGAGTGAGATGTTAGTCCGAGTGTTTTCGGGTGAGAAGATGTAAAAAGAGAGATTGTTTAAAGTATATGTCGGTTTCTAGTTTAGCGTTTGTTTTTGGTATTAATTTGTCTAGAATGGGTCGTTTTTTGTTGCTGTTCTTCAGAGTGATTTTGATGCTAGGATTTATATTATTAATGGATGTTTGGAATGTATTTAGTTTATCCAGACGTTCATTCCACAGAATGAAACCACCATCTAAATATATTTTCCCCAGTTCATTTATATTGCAACTGAAGCAATTTCCATATATTTCCGAGGTTCTGTCATCGGCTTTTAGTTCATGGTGTCCAATGACTAGGCTGGCATATGTTGGTGCATCATTTGTCTCCATTGCCGTCCCTGATTTTTGTCGGTAAGGTATTTCGTGGAACATGAAATAGTTGTTTTAAGATGCATTCAAGACTTTTCTATGATGCACTTTCCTTTGGTAACTCATGGAGAAATGTTTTTCGCCATTATTTAATGGCCTCTATTGCGTAGCCATATAGGATGTTGCTATATAGGTTCGCAACATCTTTTGAGACCATGTAAGTTTTAAGGTTTACCTCGTTAGGCAGTTCATTACGAAAATCTAGAACGAAGCCTCGATCGTGTTTGATGAGAGGTTTCAGTAGGATGTCTAGAAAATTGCTTAGAAGGTGTGTCTCGCAAATTGAGCCTGCTATTATGGGCCTTAGTTTTAGGTCGGTTGGTGCGGGTATATTAACACAATCAGTTTTTGTAGTATTGCATGTTTCGTTAA